GTGTCACAGGGCCGAGTTGCTTAGGCCGTCTCCTCTTTGTTCTTACTCCGTGCTTCTTATATAGAAAAAGGTAGGTTTTGCTTTAATTTAAAACAACTACTACACTGAAAAATAGATTACATTCCATTTTCGCATTGACATAAACTGGCGCCAACCTTATAAAGTCATCATACTCTCTGGGTAAATTACATTATTCCATGGGAGGAAATAGATAAGCACCTCACATATTCTATTTTCCATTTCATTCTCAGGTCAGTATGAAAATAACAAAATAAATTACATAAATAAACAAACACTGATAAGTTATCAAGGCGCCAAAGATTTAAGTTATCATTGAAATGTGTATGTGAGAAACTTCGTTATCAATGTACAGGATTCGGAATCTATGCAACACAATTCACACATAGGCAAGTGTGATGATAAATAAATATGTAGTTATAGGTACGTGCTTGCGTGTAATCGTTTTTCAAAGAAATGTTTTGCAATTGACTCACGCTTATTTGTCGCAAGTTTTAGAAAAAATTTTTGATACTATGCCCTACTTTTTTTAATTGATAAAAAAAATTATAGTTAATTGATAAAGTATGGGGCTATTTCTAATGATTAAAATGTAAAAGAATTTAAATATTTTTTTAAGGAATATCTTTACCTATTGGCCGCAATAGGCAGCCCTAACATAGAACAGGAGAAGAAGCGGAGAAGATTACTATGAGTCAGCAAATCTGATAGTCACTTCACCCAGGTCGGGAGAATTCATTTGATCTATAATTATTATCTGACAGTAAATTTAAAAAATCATATGAAATATATTCAGTAAATTGACACTTACTTCACGCAACAATCAAATGATTGGCTAATTGTTGATTCGCACGAATTTAACTAGCACGAAATGTGCGAATGTAGGTACGTCTTTTAAAAATATAATATTTTTGTAGACGAATCGCACGAAACTACACAATTTCATTGGCTTACGGATCGTCATATTATCTGAAATAATACTCTTATGTATTGGACATAAGAATGCATATGCAATATAGGTAAATAAAAAATTAAAATAAAAACGAATTAAATATTACGAATCAACAATAAGCCAAATGAATGAAACATAATAACTTTGTCGATGAGGCATACGCTCAATGTCACCAATCTGCGATAGCCAAGAAAAGATAAGCGAATAATTTAATAACTTTGTTAGTGTTATATTAAGATAAAACAAAAACATTGTATCGCAGACCAGCTATTTCTACCACACAATACAGATAACGAACCTATGTAATGTAAATGAGATAAGTAGGTGGAGTACGCATCACGCTAATTAATTTATCCAGAGTAATCTACATATCTCCACTGTTATGAAACTAATGCTTAGTGAAACGATAATTCTATTCTAATAACGTCGATTGTTTGCGTAATTTTGTTTATGAAGTCATTTATAATGAGACTAGCTTCCGAACGTAGCATGTTAATAAAAAACAGCCTATGTGTTAATTCAAGATATCACCTACCTACATACTTAACATTTTTAATGTTAACTAAATCGGCCTGTCGTTTTTGCGTGAAAGAATATCAAACACAACATTCTCAGAAACTTTCACATTTAAAATATTAGTTGGAAAATAGGATTTTAATAAGAATAGGTTTTTTCTTTGTTAATTTATGGCCAGGAATAGCGGGTTCGGTAAGTAATGAAGTAAATATAAATAGCATATAATAGCATAGCAATAAAATAGACAGATATTTATAACCTAAATAATTATGTAACATTACTCGATATTCGCCGCATTGTGTTTCGCACTCTGCTCATGAATATGAGCCCTTAACGTGCCTTGAAACTGGTCGAGTTACTTCGTTAAAGACGGTGAACGTCGAGTAATGTTAAATAATAATTTAGGTTATTCATTTCTGCCTATTTTAACATCATTATGTCCTATTTATATTTATTACATTACCTAACGAAACTTACAAAAAATAACAGCAACGAATAATTTTATATTAATCATTGTCACTTAAGTAATTAGGCATTTGTAATGTAGGTATTGCCAGTAGCAAGCATTGCATTAAGTAATAATAATTAATTTGAAAAATTAAATCCAAAGAATTAGTGCTATTGGAAAATTTTTCGTTAATTACCTAGTACCTAAATATTTAAATCGTTCCAAGTTTTCAAATAAAGTATTATTTAAGTAGTAAAAAAGTATAATTTTAGGCGAGAAGTTCGTATTAATTTTATAATAACGATCCTTGATTTCATCGAGTACTCATATAAGATTGATATCTTTAAGTTTCTCAATATTGTGAAGAGGCTTGTAGAGGTCTTAAATGTCATAAGAATAAATTAATTAATAAACTGTCCCTGATACCATAAAACCACTACCATATTTTAAAATAATTTTGGGTGGGAAGTTTGTTTGTTGGTTTTTTTTTTTCATTACAAATTTCCTAATTGAATCAAAAGGAAGAATGATCATTTATCAATTATCACAGTATAAAACCTTAGATTTCATGTTCATAAATAATAAGAATTTCAAAAAACGGTTGCCCTTTGAGGTCGATGAACCCGACAGCTGGAATATTAGGATAGGGACCCAAACATCTGGCCAGCATACAATCAAAAGATTAGTATTTAAAGGGCGAATTTAATGCTCACCCTGCGAAAAGTTACTGAATAATGATAATGAATGCTAGTTATCCCTGCTCTATTTAAGCTATATCTACGTCTAAGGGTTCAACCAATACTAATCCGGTAGTTTCCAACATCTCAAATTCAATACTTTAATGGAATGTCAAAAAATATTCTTCTCTGTGAATTTCGTATGAAATCGCGCAAAATACTATATATTGTTAAGACGTCAATGAGCATATTTATTTTTGAAAAATTTGTTATATTAACATAAGTAGTCTAAAATTAATAAAAGCCAAACTAAGATTATGTTTTAATAATTGGATAATTGCATTGAAAAATATAATTAGTTTTACACCTAGAAAAATTAAAATGTATAAATTGATCACTTAAAAATTCTTAAACGTACTCTATGGTTTTTGGCTTTAAGGTAATAATCTAACAAGAACATTTACATCTAAAAAAGTCACATTGGTACTCGCCAGGTATCGAACCCGCTCTCACCAAACACCAAAAGCGGGAGCATAGGCATAACCTTCTATCTTCTTAGAAAGACATGACCAATCAATAAAGGTTCAGTTTATTGCCATTTTGCTACGGAACCCCAAAAAGACTAATTCGTTACGTCGTGCGTAGAGTTCCTAACAAGTAGCCAAACAGTATCCCACTTCGAAAGAAATTCGAGTAGGTACCTACAGTAAATACAGCGACGAGCCCGCATTTAAGTGAACAATCTCGTTTCCAGTACCTACAATAACAATGAAAGCAAGTATGTTAATTTGTGGTATAAAATTGGCAAGTTCCAAATGTTCCAATATCAGTGCGCATATTACACGGGCGAGTGAATTTCGGTCCGGTTCACAAGATAACAGGGGCGCCTCCTAAACGAGGCCTCACTAGCTCGTCGGTCGTCGAACAGAGAATTACAAACAAACAACACATCGAGGCGAGTCGTTATCTCGCGGATTAAACGGCGGCAGGCACGATAGTCGATACTCATGCTCGCTGTGCGACGCGTTCCACTCGCGCGCAACACACACCGCCTCCACTACAAACACCGGCAAAAAATATGCAGTAACACAGTCAACAAGTTAATTCATTAACGACGGACTTTAGAATTAGCTTACTTAGTTGCAACAATACGCCCTTTTACATTATGTAAAAAAACGTCGGTTTGATATCAGGCACGGTACATGTATCACGGTGGCCATAAAACGCCATAGGTACTTATGTACTGATTGTACTCAATTTGATTGCACGTGCATAACTCATGCGTGTATCGTAAAGCAATGTGGACAATACAAATTTTTATAAATAGAAAACTTAATTCTTTAATAGTCGTTGACTGGTCAAAAGAGATTTATCCTTTAATGAATAACAAATCGTGTTGAAAGGATGATGTAATTTGAACAATAATAAATAATCAAGTGGAGGTGTACGAAAGAAGTATAATATTGACTGATTAGACATACATGAAGTATCAACATCTAGCAGAGGCAGACGCGCTCCATGTCTTAGAATTGTGTATTTTAATAAAGTGTGCGACGTTATTATTCCCTTTACACACGAGTACATACTCGTTGGCAATAAAAATATATTTTTATATGAGTAATCCGTACGCTCGCAATGTTATGCGTATTTCATACTAGGCATTGCCTCCGCTTGACCGCGTGCCAATCAAGTCTGAGTAATAACAAAATTTAAATTTGTAACAATGTTCAAAATAAAATGGCAATACACATTTTTTACTTTCATATTTTCTATGTACAAGGAGAGAGCTAGTTCGTCGTTCGTCCTAAAGAGTTATATTACTAAACTTTTATCCAAGGAGGTTAGTCGGAAGGTTAGCAATAACTTTAACATACATGGTACACTCTCCATTTACAACTCCTCGTATCCATTGAAGTTAAAAGAATAAATGACAACAGAGTGATAGCTCTAAAATAAGGTCTTTTGTATAATTTTTTTTTAGTCTCTTGTACAAACAATTAATTTACAAAAGCTTATTTGGTTGAAGAAAACTATAGTTTACTATTCAGTCAATTGAAATAATTATGGAACCCTCATCCAATTTACCATGTATGAACATTTGATTGGATAATTTAATGTTTTTGAATGATTAACAAAAATTATGTTGCAAACGGTTGATTTCTTTGCAGATTTTGCGTACTTACTTAAATGATAAGTTAATTTACTATCATTATACCGAAAAACTCACAGAAATAAATAAAAGGCCGTAGACGGATATTTTAATATTTAAAGAATCAGTTTTATGCCTATTACACATATGATATTGATAAGAATTCAGTAAATTCTAATAAAAAAGTGTCTATAGTTGCTAAAATTAAAAGGAAAATGGAGGAAAACCATAATTACTTACTTCCCGTGGGTAGTTTGTTGTCGCCTGCGGCTTCGGCGCGCGCGCATGCCATAAGCAGCGCGCACGCCACCACCGGCCAGGCAAAGTGGTCGCACGCGCGCCTCATCACGCCGTGCCGCGCCCCTGGCCTGCTGACCACATGACCCGAGCTGAAACAATATCAACGCCTTCAGGATTTGGTAGCTAGGAAGCCCTTTTCAGGAATCTTTTCCCAGATAAGGTTTAAGATTTAATGAAGAGAAGAATCGAAGGTAATTCTTCTAGATAGTTTCTGTATGTGACACCACGACCTTATACAACACACCTCTACGTTGTTTCGTCCTTTCAGTGAAGTTACCGGTGATCTCAATGATTTCTATCCCGTGTTTTGCTGTTCTTACATCCTATCCCACCTAATATGGGTACTTGTACGATGATAAAAGTACTAATACAGACATATAATGTTATATGTTTTTTTATATGTAGGTATACCGATCCTCGGATCCATAATATAACGTGTTTATTTCAATAGCAATATTTTAACTAATAAATACTCATCAAGTACATAACAAACTAACATGGTTTAAGTCCTATAAAGGTAGTTTAATTGACTAAATTAGCCATTGCGGCATTTTCGACCTGGTTTTTGGTTGTTATACATGTATAAAGTTACATAGGTTGGGTAAATAATCGCGTTCCACGCATAACGCAAACGTCAAACACTAATATAACAAATCATTATCTCACAGTGACGCACAATAGCTTCTCTGCAAATTGCCAACCTTATTGTACGTACAACAATAGTGGTTTCATTGATGAATATAAATTTCATTGATCAAAGTGTCGGCTCGCAGAGGCCAATGAGTGTATAAAGACCGCGGTAATTAGCGTGGGATCCTTCGATGTTCCCACGACACGCCCGTAACAGGAAAATATTAATTAAGAAACACGTTAGGTATTGAACAAAATAACCGCAATTATATGAAAAAAAAAACAACCGCAATTGTATGAAAAATTACATTTTACTATCCGGGACTAATAATATTTAATGCGTAGATTTTTCCTGCAGTGTGACGCCGTACTCGTGCCATTTTATATCCGGTAGGTACATTTAGCGAGAATAGTTAGATCTATCGGCGTGTTATACAATAAATACAATACATGGCGCCTACGCTCAAAATATTGATAACACGGAGTGAAATAATATTCTATTTCCCTTTTGGATTTAGGTACCCGTAAGCAACACATGGATTTGTAGAAAGGTATGTAGTAATATTGTTTATGAACATAACAATTAACGTGGCGAATTCGAAACTCATTTTTGACTAGCAAATATTGTAACTATAGATAGCTTTATGTTTAGATGGATAATTAGTCTAAGATAAATTAAAAGGCTAACCAATAGTGAAAAAAACTCTTTTTGCAATATAAAATGGTGAGTTTTTTGAGTAGGTATATTATGTATATCGTCATATCCTTTAAACTCGTATAAGTTTCATCCAGTTACCTAAATAAATCAAAATTATATGTATATAACTGTTTGACACAGTAACTCAAACATGTACAAAAGTTTAGCAAACTTTAGACAAAACTCAGTTTTAACTGTTGCAGTAACAAACCGACAAACATTTGACTTAAAGAGTCCCTACAAATCTTTCTGCATTCAATGTTCGTATTAAATATTATATTATTTATTTTAATGACTGATGTAAAATCTTAAATATTTATGTCTTTTTTTTTTTTTTTGGAGTTTATGGCCTGGATGAAATATTTATGTCATAATGATAAATGTACAGATTAAATCCTAGATATTTTTTCCTTTGCAACACTATTTGCCTGTATTTTTTTTTATTTGTCTCTAAATTTATTGGTATCTTATTGTAGTAACAGTCCCAAAATCGAAAACCGATTTTTAATAATTACGCATAAAAATTATCTCCATTCGAATCTACATTTGGGAACAAGCACCTAGTTTCTCTGACGGAATACTAGAATAAGAGAACCTGTGAGAATGTGGTTTATCTGAAATAAATAAATGTATTTCACTTTGAGTTTGTCTCACTCTCAACACATTCCGTTCACAATACTTAGGTAGATCTAGAATTTATTGAAACTTATTTAGGTGTGCAAAAATGTTCGACACTTCCGGTGTATACTCCTGCAATATACAGGCACGTTCATGATTGCACTGAGACAAAAAAAGTCATGATTGCGCCAAGGTCCAACACACGGCACGCGGGTAAACCTTGGCAGATAGGGAGGGGACGACTTTCCCGCGCTGCATTTGTTGTTTACGCGGCGTGTCGTGGCGGCCAGTAAGGTCGACGACCTCGTGCCGCACCACGCCGCCATATTTTTGGTAATAAATAATAGATAGAACAGCGCAGCGCAGCACGATCGATCAGACCGCGACCAGTGCGGCGGCGCGTGCTTGGCTCCGTACCCAAAACATTGCACCCCCACCCCCTAAAGAACGCGAACGCACTTAAGAAGCAACTACGTAGAATCTTATCCATGTGGAGTAGGGGCTTCTTCCGTCTTTTTTCCTCGTTTCGGATTTATTATTCACCGTACAAGGAGTTTTTGAATTTTGAATTTTCCCAAATGTAAAAATAATGATATCACGTGGCCAGCGGCATACCCGATTTCAAATTTGTATTGACGCAAACATGTTTTGTAAATTTTATAAAAAATAGTTAGATAACAACACCATAAGCATAACACGATGATAAGCAATTGTGTGCCTTATCTGTCATTTACTCATTAGTACCTATATTTCTATGAATAGATAAAGTTTTGATATAAATTTTATTTTATTTTCCTTTTGAAATTGATCTATCTGTGTGATTCTGGCATCGAATTTCTAATTGGTAACCGTTCAAGAGTCAATGTACAGTCCGATGGCCGTTTGAGTACACGAATCCTTAGTAATAGCATAGATAGGTATACCGGCAGAGGTAGACTGAGGTGTTTATTTACTTAATTCCTTAAAAGTATGTAAGTAAAGAGGATTTACATATATTAAAATGAAAAGTTATGTAGGTTTAATGTAACATCTCGAATGTCAAACCTACATACCTATTATGTAATATGGCAAAAATACCGTTGGCAATGCCGAAACATCTCCGGAACTGGAATAATGTGTACGAGTCTGCGCCCCATCTAAGTAAGTATATCCCGCTCGCCTATCTCTCGCATTTGAGGTGAGAATGTACTTGACAGTCCGGTTTTCTTCTGGGACGCGGTGTAATGTGATCATCTCTTCTGTCCGGAAACCGATCCGGCAAAGGGTGATCAGGGCCTTTAAAGTTATTTATAAATGACGTAGTTCTTACGCTAAGCATATTCATGGTATATTGAACGAAGAATGCAACAGATCGCATCAACAAGTTAATTCAAGGCCAGGCGAACTGTAAAAAACGTTGTTTTCGGATTATTGTTTTGATAAGACTTCAAGGTGTATGTTCTTGCGCGCTCGCTTATCGATAACAAATTCTTAATATACCAGTGTCTAACAAACATAAAACAAAAGTAGGATATTTTATAATTGTTGTTTTTTTTTGTTTTATAGAATAGTTTCCAATTTGCCATATCTTTTGAAATTTGTGTTCTTAGATAAAATTAACAGCAAACTCAATTCATTACCCATAAAATTAAATACTTAATGATAAATTTAAAGATATTCTGTAAGATTTTTGTTTACAAACATTATTAAACAAGATAATACCTATAAGTCTCAATATATCAAAAAGTACGACGTATAACACACCTATAACGTTCAAAATTTACTACCTATGTATAGAAAACATTTATTTATTTAACGAATGTTATTTAATTTGGCTACAGCAAAATGCAGCTTGGTGAAGGGTGTAGCAATTCTGCGAAGTAGCCTGTACACTTAATTGGATGTCAATGTTGTCAAAATAGTAAGTATTTAAATAGGAATTTGCAATAGTTAGGATGTTACTAGATTTTTCGACATCTGCGATGGATGACCCGAGTTTATATATGATCATTCAATTTAGTTGAATATGTACCTAAATGTTTTACGTACCTAATTTAGAGCCTACTGCAAAGTTTGAAAAACCTATAAATCATTTCAGATCGTAGTATTCCGCTGGTTACGCTATAACATATTTTTTTTAAGATCTAACTAGACTTTACAACCAGAAAATAATTAAAATCCACAGCATGCTCTTAACCGTGAGTTTTAAACCTAGAAAATAGATTTAGTGGGAGATATTTGTTTTTAATATGCTATCGTCTTTCAACGGATACGATCATGGAAGCAGCCGTCAAACCGTTGTCACCGCTCTCAGCCATCGCGCACGTATATCGTTCGCCTGCGCCGCGCCGCCGCCACCGCGTCGTTCGTTGCGGAGAAGGGCACAGAGTTGTTTACACCACCGCTCACACCACGTGGTGTGCACCAAGCATTCATATGGTCACGTGGTTCTGTTATTACAAATAACCTGTATTGTATTTAAAACAATAATGTAACCTAACTCTTGAATCTGTGATAACTGATTCTAGTAGTTTCATCCGTATTCACATCCAAAACAAATACAAAAACGCTACCTGAGCTCGGTGCTTGACGTGTTTGTCTGCTCCTTGTGATCCACAATTTATTATTAAACTGTTTCAATTCAATATTTCACTTCGAAACACAGCACAAAACACTTAAATTATGTATTTTTTATATTAACCAAAACAATAACAACACTATTGTAAACATAATACGCGGCAAACAGCGGATAACGCGCAGACGAGTTATCACGAACGACGCGCGCGAACGACTGAGGGAGAGGGAGCGGAGAGCGCGGGGCATGCCGTGCCGTCGACCCAGTCGAGGAATGCGGCTCGGCTCGCCCGTTCAGCTCGCGTGCTTATTTTTTTGCTCCGTCCAATGGGACGCTCAGGGCGCGTTCTTCCTCTAGGCAGTCTAGGGTTTAACCAAGTTAAGAAAATATGGAAATGTTGATTACAATGGCTACTTATATGAATAGGTACACATTGTTGTTCATATATTAGGAACGCCAAATTCTTTAATTTGATTTAAACTAATTTCTGAATTGGATACCTAGTAAAAGTATAAAGCATAGCTACCTAATAAAAGATTAATTAAATGTATTTAAGTAGTACTTATTCGGAGGTACTAACCCGAATCTGAGAGTAAAATTTAAAAAAAAATGGAAAATTGGAATTAAGAACTTGTAAATGTTTCTTATTAGGTCTTCAAAATTCTATTGAATTTCTAATAGGTAGGAACCTATTTTTTTCTAATCTGGTTTGTGTACTTCCTAAGAGGCAAACTATGTGTTCCCCAAGTACCTAACTTATGTATGAATTAAGAGAACGATATACTAAATAATTAAATGTACGTAACATTAACTAGGTATGCAAATTACCACTGAAATTTGATTTGAACGAGATCTAAGTAGTTTTTTAATACTCTTTAAATCGTTGAAGTATATGTAGGTAAAAGAAGGTTTCATTATTAAGACATCAATTAAAGTCACAACGAAGTATAACTACCAACTTTTATATTCACAGATGGGGCCCAAAAGAGCTGATGTTAAGCCTAGGTTATAATTTACTGAGGCCTAGAACAGGAGCAGGTTTGGTGCCACGGTGTGGTTTTTAGTCAGTAAGAGTTTGACACTCTCTTTTGCCCCACCGAGGAACTAATTCGTCGCTTTTTTATAGGATACGCGGCAAACGACCTGACGTATTCTTTGATGGTAAGCCAGAAATCCGCGCAGCCTACAGATGCTCGTAACTACAGAATGTTAGGGCAGTTGGGAATTGGGCGTCGCTTTCACGCCGGTTTTCTGCGAGGCCTTGGTACCTATCTCTCTAATAAAATTGAGCCGGCCCATTCGTGCCGACGCACAGCATTCCCACACTTCCTACTAAGAAACTTGGTCTCCCACAATTGGTACTCTAATAAGGCTAGGGCCTGTAGTAATAAGCCTGTCTAATAAGCCAAAATATACGTGTTGTGATTGTATTAGATTTAAGCCGTACACTGTTACAATTAACGTCATGTCATTATCACAACGTAAAGAAAACACAAGAAGGAACATCCTTGTGGAGCTCCTTCATTTTTTGAGGGAGGAAAATCATCAAATGACTTTTTTCGCCCTGGATCCTGTAAGGGAGTGTCAGACTCTTACTGAGTAATACCGCCTTGTTTAGGCCGGAGTCGCAGTACATTAGTACGCCCCATATTTAAACAATAAAACGTTCTTATTTCAAAACTAAGTTACTAAACCGAAAGTAATTTGATGGATTTTTTATTCATAAACATTTGAATTAGGTACATTTATTCAACTCCATTCGGTCTCTATCTCTAGCATGCCTACAATAAAAGGATGATTTTTTAAGTAATACAGATACTATACACAGTTAAACAGTAAATTAATGTTAGTTTAATAAATTCAAAATATGCAAAACACAGATGTACGAGTATACAGTATGCACATACAACATGAACTTTATCGATTGTTGTCGTAATTGGCGAAAATAACCATCCTTATCAATCTGGCGCGTACTTACGAACTCTATGTACCTATCAAAAATATGTCATTATAAACAATTAAATTATCATGTGCACTGAATGTGACATTTGTTTACTTTGTCCAAGTTGAACAGGTGATTCTTTAAAGCAAGCTTTGTAATAAACAAAAATATATAAATATAGAAGACCATACGCCATGGTAGAGAATTATTGATAAGTATTTAGATACTACTAGGTACTATTCCAGTTTAAGTTTTGTCTTTTAATACAACTTTGAAAACTGTATCCTATCTCGAAGGATAAATATATTTATAGAATAGTAATTCGAAACATAGAAGAAACGATACCAAGATCTTTAGTGCTTATACCAGGGGTGGCTGGAAAGTTATCTACCTAAGATAGAAAGAAAAGACATAGGAAGCTCATTTTTTTTTATTTTTCAATATAGTCCCCTGGTACCGTAATGCACTTATTACATTTGTCCATAAGCGACATTAAACCGTCAAAAAAATATTTCTTGGATTGGTCGTCAAAATGGCCATCCACAGCGGCCTTTATTTCTTCATCGGTCGAAAATCGCCTCCCTCTTGGGTTTTTCTTCAAATTTCTAAATAGAAAATAGTCACAGGGGCCAAATCTGGACTATAGGGTGGATGGTTTAGTTCCGTGAAGCCATTCTTGCTTAAGACTGACCTTGCATGTAAAGCTGTGTGGACCGGAGCATTGTCGTGCAAAATTAAAACTCCTTTGCCGAGTTTGCCTCTTCGTTTTTCTTTTATAGCTTCTCGCAGTTGGTCAAGTAAGCTGGCGTAGTAAGTTGCGTTCATCGTAGTATTTTTTGGTATGTAATCTATCAAAAGAATCCCCTCGACATCCCAAAAAAATGTTGCCATAAGCTTGCCTGCTGATGGCCGAACCTAAAACTGCGCGGTGGCTTCTCCCCTTTAAATTTCCACTGTAAAGATTCCTGTTTGCTTTCGGTGTCCCATTGGCGAATCCAGGTTTCGTCGCAGGTTACTATTCTAGAGATAATTTCTTCTTCTCTGTCTTTTACTAGGTCCAAAAATGCCTCGCAACATTCGACGCGTCGTTGTTTATCAAAGGGCGTCAGCATTCTCGGTACCCATCGTGCGCTTACCTTTATCATCCCTAAATGTTCGTGAACAATAACGTGAATACGTTCCTTACTAATCCTGACATCCCTAGCGATTTCCCACTGCTTGACTCTCCGATCCGCGAGTATTATTTTTTTCACTCGAGCCACCGTGTCTACTGTGACTGCAGAAACCGGCCGTCCGCTACGGGGATCGTCTTCCAGACTCACACGGCCATGTCTAAATTGTTTAGACCAAAAATTAATAACAAAATCGAAAGGACATGAATCGCCAAACACATTGGACATTCGTTGTTTTATTTGCGAAGGAGTATTTCCTTTTTAGTTAGGACTTTAATCACGGCACGCTGCTCAATTTTAAGCATTTTATTATTTCCATCCGACATGTTTACTATGTTAGTGGACTATTCGTAATGAAAACAATTAAAACAAATGAATGCTATTATTTTCAAATAAGGAATCCATAAGTATTAAAACTTCATAGTGGCCAGTATCATTTTTGTAACTTTATTGAACAAAGTAGATTATATATCAGCCACCCCTCGTATTTAATGTTATAAAACGCAATTATATATTTATATTATATATGTATTATTTTTATGTATGTAACTTAGAATTGATGGACACCTCCACTTCCCGTAACTTCCTTAATTGCTGGATATCACCTACCACACATCTCTGCACTACCAAAAGGTTGACTGGCAGAAAATGCTTCTAGCATTAAGTCATATGCAATAAAATTGTATATAAAGAATAAATAAATGAATAAATCTTTCGTTATAAAAACATTAATTTTGGACACCATAAAGCCTACGAAGTAAATACCTGAAAAAAGTATTTTTTTAGTTAAGTTACGAATACTCGTATGCTATCGATTTTCCAATAACTTGAAAAACATCATAATCATCAACTTTTACTATGGCGCACCACAGGTAAAGTAAGTGTGGGAGAGCCATGCTTCGGCACGAATGGGTCGGCTCAACCGGAGTGATACCACGGCCTCACAGAATACCGGCGTGAAACAACCACAGCGTTGTGTTTCGCCGTGTGAATGAGGTTACCGGAAGCCCAATCCCGCCCCTTCACCTATCCCTTCCCGATCCTTACATTCGCAACCCCTATCCCCAAAAGGCCGGCCACGCACTCGTAACTCCTTTGGTGTTGCGGCTTGCGGGTGTCCATGGGCGGCGCCGATTGCTTACCATCAGGTAATCCGTCTGCTCGTTTGCCGACTTATACCATAAAAAAGGTGGTACAAAAAGATCCTACTATTTGTAAATATTCTTACTTTAAATGCGTATCATTTTGCAGAATTCAGCATATTGTGCTGTTTTGGTTGGTAATTTGGTATTGATGCAAGCTATTAATTACCCCATGGGTTCACTGTTATCGCTGTGGTAAGTGCCCTCTTTGAGGAGTGGTAGGAGAGACGTCACGGCTTCCTTACCTTTCTAACTTACCATGCTGACGCAGGTGCTTACCGGAGACGAGTGTTTCGAGAGGTAGTACCTGAATCGGATTCAGCACGAGGAAAAAGCTACTGTCGCCATGGTATATACCTAATGTATATTATCCTTTTGCACATCAAAATGCTAAGACACATCGTTACAAGTATAAATCTTCCACGCTTGAGTTATTGAAAAAAACTCTGCAAGTTTCAAGCCACACCGGGGCTCGTATTTAGGTACGACGAGCAACATGTCCGACATGGGCGACATCACGCATCGAGTGGATCGGCTTGACCGGAGTGCTACAGCCTCACAGAAAATTCCACACATCCTTTTCCAATCCAAACCCTTATCCTCAAAAAGCCGGCAACGCACTCGTAACTTCTTTGGTGCTTCAGGTGTCCATGGGCGGCGCCGATTACTTACCATCAGGTAATCGGAATGCTCGTTTGCCGTCCTATCACAAAAAAACTACATTCATACGTTTGTAGATATCGATGCCAGAGCAATTTATGTTACGAACAGACGGGTAATATGATTGTCTTAACTTTTACATACCAGAAATGAAATAATGTACCGTTTAATACCGTCTTAACAAAGGATGTCAATGTTTTCTACAAAGTTTAATAGGTACAAATATATCAAGATTTTTGTTGACCAAATATATTATCAACAAATTGCTGAACGGTCAAAGATCAGTGGAAATCTGTT